ATTACAGCACAAGACACATCGCCATTCATCCACCTCAAAAATTTTCCCCTTGATCCAAACACTCTGATACAGTTCTGGAAGTCCTCTTTCCTAGTCTGTCTGTCTGTCTGTCTGTCTGTCTGTCTGTCTGTCTGTCTTTCCTTCCTTCCATCCTTCCTTCCTTCCTTCCTTCCTTCCTTCCTTCCTTCCTTCCTTCCTTCCTTCCTTCGAGTCTCGCTACGCAGTTCAGGCTGGCCTTGAGCTCACTTTGTAGCCCAGGCTGGTCTCAAGTCTGTATCATCCTGCCTTAGCCTCCAAGTGCTGGGATTACATGCAGGTGTGCACCACCAAGCCAGGCTCTTTCCAAGTATCTTTATGAGATGTGATTTAAAAAAAAAATGGTGATTGCGACTGCCACATGCCATCCAATGAAGGACAAGATGATGAAGACATCAGTGTGGCCTCCTCATCCACCTTATTGACCAGATCGGGTACCACACAACTTCCAGCTCTTCTTCAAAGTCAAAATTGACAATGAAGGGCCGGGGAGATAGCTCAGTAGAATAAGCACTTGTATGGCAAGTGCAAGGTCCTGAGTTCAATCCCCTGTACCACAAAAAAAAAAAAAAATGAGCATGAAAGGGAACTAGCTGCATCAAGGTGGCCATGACAGCACAACCAAAGACACTCATGAAAGAAGACTCCCAGAACTGCTTCAGAAAGCGGCAAAAACAATGGATAAGTCTCTTTAAAGTGAGGGAAGTATGTCGAGGAGGATTCATAGCAATGTGTCTTTTTCTGCAATAATTTTTCTAAATTTAAGTATTCAGCATATTTTTCAAATTATTTTCTAACTCTGGTGAAATATTATATTATTCTTTTTGCTGTCTCACCAATGAGGAGACTAGGTGTCAGAGAAGCCTTTCATTTTTCACTGGGCTATGACCATGCCAATTTCTGGACCAGCTAAATGACTTCTTTTTGGAGTAATAAGACCTATGGGGGTGGGTTTTGATGTATCAGAAAGTCTGGGGGGAAACAAGGAATTTGTAGCACATTCTGGCTTCTGGCCTTGGCTTGGCCTGTCTAGTTCAGTGCTTAGGTTTTGCCCCAAGCCCTTTTTTTCTGGTAAAGATTTTTTTTTTTCACCAATGCTCATACTTCTCCAAATCACATTTGATTTTCAGTCAATTACAATTACAAAATGATTTTTAATCACAAAGGAGCAGGGGTTGGGAAGAGTGTGTGTGTGTGTGTGTGTGTGTTGTGTGAGGAGGGTTTTAGATACTTAGCAATGACTAGAAGAAGGGCTGCAGATAGAGCTCAGCAGCATAGTACTTGCTTGGCAAGTGCAAGGCCCTGAGTTCAAGTCATGATATAAAAAAAAAAAAAATCAGAGAAATGACCAGAAGAAAGAATAGAGGTTCCTAACCGCAAACTAAAAGAAAAACGACGGAAGGAGGAGAACCCCCCTTCCCCCAAAAAGGATTTAAGATTCAATATGACAGTTTAAAAATTATCAGGTGGAGCACCTGCTTTGGCAAGCACAGGGACCAAGGTTCGATTCCCAGTCTCACATGCCACACCAGCCCCGCCCCCAGGGGCACGCTGTGCCAGCGACCAAGTCTAGGTGTGGGGGTTCACGCTTGTAATCCCAGCACCAGGGAGGCTGGAAACAGGTGGATCACTATGAGTCTGAGCTGCATAGTGAGACCCTGTACCAAATACATGGGAAAAAGAAAATCTCAGGTGGAGCTAACAGATGTAGTTCAGTGGTAGTGAATTTGCCTAGCTTGGATAAGACCCTGAGTTCCAGCCCTGGCACTACAAAGAACAAACAAGAAAGACAAACAACAGACAAAACCCTATGGAGCCATTCATGGTGGCATATGCCTGTAGTTCCAGTACTCTGGGAGACTGAGGCAGGAGGATAAGAAGTTTGAGCTCAGCCCAGGAAACACTTAGCAGGACCTTGCCTCAAAATAAAAAATAAAGAGCTGGGGCGATGTGTGAAGGTGCTGGGTTGGATCCTCAGTTCTGTCAGAAAGCAAGGAACAACCAAGCTCTGCTAATATAGAATCCAGAGGGCCCGGGGAGATGGCCCAGTAGGATAAGCACTTGACTGGCAAACGCAAGGATCTGAGTTCAATCCCTGGTTCC